GAGAGACTCAGCACCACGGGGAGAGAGACTCAGCACCACGGGGAGAGAGACTCAGCACCACGGGGAGAGACTCAGCACCACGGGGAGAGACTCAGCACCACGGGGAGAGAGGATCAGCACCACGGGGAGAGGCTCAGCACCAGGGAGAGATCAGTCCAACACGGCGGGGAGCTCTGCTCAGCACCAGGGAGTATTTGTTCGGCACCACGGAGAGCTCGGCTCAGCACCGTGGAGAGCTCAGCCCAGCACGGCGGGGAGCTCAGCTCAGCACCAGGTTCAGCACTGTGGAGAGCTCGGCGTGGTACCAAGGACAGCACCGATTGGCACCGTGGAGAGCTCGGCTCAGCACCGCGGTCAGCTCAGCTCAGCACTGTGGAGAGCTCTGTTCAACATCACAGGGAGCTCAGCTCAGCACCGCGGGGAACTCGGTTCTAAACCGCAGAGAGCTCGGCTCGACACCTCGGAGAGCTCAGCTCAGCACCACACAGAGCTCGGTTCAGCGTCACAGAGAGCTCGGTTCAACACCTTGGAGAGCTCGGCTCAGCACCGCGGTCAGCTCAGCTCAGCACCGCGGAGAGCTCAGCTCTGCACCCCGCAAAGCTCAGCTCAGCACCGCGGAGAGCTCAGCTCTGCACCCCGCAAAGCTCAGCTCAGCACCGCGGAGAGTTCAGCTCTACACCCCATAAAGCTCGGTTCTATGCCCCGCAAAGCTCGGCTCAGCACCGCGGACAGCGCCCGGCCCCGCCCGCCCAGCGGCCCCGCGGGGAAGGGCCGGTGGCTCTGCCGGTCCCGGTGGCTCCTCCGGTCCCGGTGGTTCCTCCGGTCCCACCGGCTCCGCAGAGCCGTGGATCCCCTCCCCACACCCCCGGGAAAGACGCAGCCGAGTGGCCCAAGAGGCAGGGCAGGGACAGACTGCACCCGGCCTCGCGGGCAGGGCGATGCTCTGCCTGCCACCGGGGCTTTGGGGCTTGTTTATCCACGCTGGAATGCAGGGAAGGAGAAATGGAGCAGGAAGCACAGCAATCCCTGGGATTGTATAACGTGGACAGAAAGATCAATACGAGTGTGTGCGTTCAGAGAGAAGGGAAGTGCGTTCGCTCCATGGGTGTATTTTTCCTGTGAGCCCCTCAGGAAGTGAAAACTGGGGAAGCCTAAAGAGGAGCTGGCCTCTGTGGCAACTGAAAGTGTTGCTAGGAGGCTGGGAGGAGGCCTGGCTGCCGTTAGCTGGGTATTAACAGGGGTGTGATATCAGATGAAAAGAAAGCAGCCGGCTCCCTTGAGACCCCCAGTGCGATGCACTCCTGTGCACACACACACATCAGCTACTCCCTGGTGGCCTCAAACACTCTGCTCCCCTTTGCTCATGGCTTACAACCAGCATTCCCAGCAAAGCCCCCTCCTGAGGATTGTCACTCGGCCCGGGAGCTGGGGCTCGGACAGAAAGCATCTATCCCTTTCACCACACAGTAGACAATCCCTCTCCCCACTTACTGCCTCCCTCTGCCTCAAGGCTTTGATAATATTATTTTTTTTAGTACAGCCTAAGCTTAGACCACGCACCTAATCAGAGTGCCATGATTCATGTTGATTCTAATGGATTCAGGTTTAGGGGATGTGCTAAACCTGAGATGCAATGATTGTATTCCTGGGATTTGCCAGGTACCTGGGCTATCAATGTCCCTACTATCAATGCAGTTTTAATGCTAAGGTGTCACCATTTTTATCCCTTCTGCTGTTCAGAGTGAGACAGAAGAGTTGGAAGGCTCCAAGATGGAAATAAGAATCAGGATTCACCAGCACGAACCTCACAGAACCCTTTGCAGCTGACTTAAAATTGTAGGTAATGTAAATCTACACATCCAGCTCACACCTAAAGACACACTGGCATGCACATATGTCTGACACACAGCCCTGGCATAAGGCACCCCCAAAACACCCTCTGCTGTGCCCACAGGAGGAGCTCCCTGTGATCCCCATGGACACGGCCGTGCGTTATGTCGGGCACAGGGATCCATGGCACACACACCCACCGCACACCCTGGCTCACACATGCACGTCTGCATCAGCCCCAGACACTCATCCTGCGCTGCCCAGAGGGGTCTCTTCCCCTCAGCCTCCCTCTCCCCCTCCCCACCTTCCTCCCGTGCCCGCACAGCCTCCCTGAAAGGATATGGCCATTCTGTTATTCGCTTGGCATATTTCCGTATAACATTATCTTCACTGAAGATGAAGAGGGATCTGTTGACTGTGAAGCAGTTCTGTTTGACAGGGATGGGGTTGTAGAGAGCCATAGTCCTGGCCCTCTGAGCCATCGACTGCTTATACATCCTTTGGCCGGCTTGGGGGCCACCTTGCCGGCTGCTCCCTCTTCCAGCCCCGGCCGGCCCTCCACCTCCATAGCGGGTCGGCAGATCATCCCCAAACCGAGCCATCCTCGCGGTGCACGGAGCCGGGCGCTACAATCCAAACTGGCAGCCGAGGCGAGAGGAAGACGCATCACAGCGCGCAGCACTTCTCCCTCCGGGGGCTTCAGTCGCGGGATCGGGATTGATGGCAGCAAAAATATATTGATGTGTTATAAAAAAAAATAAATAAAATAAAATAAAATAAAATAAAAATAAAAATCCCTTTCTCTTCCTCCACCCCCTGCGCTTCCCCCGCCGCGGTGGCTGCCCGGGGGTAGGAGGAAGGCACCGGGGCTCCGCTCACCTCCCCACACAGGTGCCGTCTCTCCGGCCCGACCTCATGGCCGGGGCGGCGGGGGGGGCGGCCGCGGTGGTCGCGGTGCCTTGGCTGGGCTGGGAAGGGGCTCTGCGCTGCTGCCGTGCCCGCCGCGGGAGCGCTCGCCGTGCCCAGCCCAGCCCAGCCCGGCACGGCTCCGGCACGGCCCGGCCCCGCCGCATGTGATGCCCGGAGCCAATGGGGCCGCCGCGGCTCCGCCCGCCCCAGTCACCGGCACCGGGGGGCGGGAGGAGGAGGATGGAGCCCGGCCCGGCCCGGCAGCCACCGCCCACCCCGGTAAATACGGCGGAGCCGCGGCTCCTCCCCGGGGGAAGGAGGGATGGACCCCTCCCGTGCCCCTGCGCAGCGCTCCGCGGGCGCGCAGAGCCCCGGCCGGGGGTGCTGCCGGCCGGGAAGGGGGTGCTGCCGGCCGGGAAGGGGGTGCTGCCGGCCGGGAAGGGGGTGCTGCCGGCCGGGAAGGGGGTGCTGCCGGCTGGAAAAGGGCGGGGGGTGCAGGCGAGGCAGCCCCCGCGCCTGCGCGCCCTGCCCAGATGTGCCCTACCCAGATGTGCCCTGCCCAGATGTGCCCTGCCCAGATGTGCCCTGCCCTGCCCAGCTGCCGCGCCCAGGGGTGCCCCCACCGCGCAGCCCCCCCAGCACCCCCGTCTGTGCGATCAGAAGCCCCCGGGAAGGCTCAGCCGGGGGGGGGGGGGGAGTGACTGGGGGTGCGGGGCAAGCGGGGGGCTCAGTCCGCAGCCCCCGGGGCAGGGAGGGATGCGGGGGGCCGGGGGTGCAGCCCCCGCAGCAGCGCCCGGGGACAAAGCGGTGCGGGGATGTGCTGGATCGAAAGAGAGCTGCGCCCTTCTGGACAACTTACTTTGTTTCTCCTTGGTTTGAATGACTCCTGCAGAGCACTGGATACCTTTAATCCTGTATTTATGGACGAAATCCTTTAATCCTGTTTATTCCAACACCCTCTGTTGCTTCCCTCCACCACGAGTCAGAGAGAGAATTCCTCCTCGTTCCTGGAGCGCCGCACGGCAACAGCCACTGCAGTGGCTGGGGAGGAAATGCTTTAGCATTTCGGCTAAATTTGGGATAGAAACTATTAACTTTTCAGAAGGGACCCTCCGGAGAAGTCAGGGCTGTCAACAAGGGGGCATTTTCGCTTCCCCCACAGCAAGGAAACCCTGGACTCTGCTGCTAATGTGTTTTTTGCCTTAGTCATCCAAGCTGTCTCAGTTCAAAACCAACCCACCGACCAGGCGAGCCTGTAGCAATAACATCTGCCGGCTTCGGGAGACAGGGACAGGGCTGGCAGCATCCACAAGTGACACAAATAAGGTCTGGCAAGAGGCAAAGGGTGACTCTCTGGAAGAAAGTGGTTTTTTACCCGAGGGGGTTTTGGTGTCTGGAGGGCTCTCTCACGCTGCAGCAGAACCACAGATACATTCGGAGCCAGCAGCGGCTGCCGAGGGGAGCCGGGAGCGGCTCTAACTCACCGAGACACGGCAGAAAAGAGAGAGGGAAGAAGGTGTAGCCTCGAAATATCCTCTGCCTCGAGGGTCAGACACAGCGGGAACCACCAGCACCCCCCCCCCCCCCCCTTCCCCCGACAGGGACACGGGCAGCCGGGTTGTGCCAGCCCAGGGGAGCCGGGCAGCGAGAAGCAGCTCCAATCCGTGGTTTGCCTTCCCGTGTGCTCGCTGGGAAGGCAATAAAATAAGACTTTTTCTCCACCCCTGTTTTTGTTTATTTGAAAATGAGTGCTTAAACTGAGTGCTGGAGGCTTTGGGGAAAACTTTGCACAGAGACAGACGCTGAAGTGTTTCAGCATCCCTGGTACACTCAAACAGACCCCGGGCACACGGTAAAATGAGTGTTTCCTCTCGTAGCTCTTCACCCCCGAGCTCTGCTGAGCTGATCCACACAAATGGATCTTCAGGGAAAGTTTCCTTATTTTGTAGAGGTGCAGGGAGCTCACAGGATGAACAGGGCAGGAGAATGATCTCTATTCTTTAAAGTTTTCCCTAAAAACATTTTCATTTTCATTCTCACTGTATTTCTTTCTATGATGCATTTATCTCTCACATGAAAATCAAGTTTTCCTCAGCTGATTTATTCACTTGTCTGCATTTTTCACTTCTCTGCTTCTGGCCACTAAATCTAATATATTCTGTGGCCTTTTTCACTGGGAAAATCTGACTCTTTTTCTCAGTAAACACGAAGAGGAAATGCCATTTTCAGTAATCCCCCACCCTCTTCTGAGGGAAATTAGCATCTGGAAAAAAAAGAAATACATTATTTTCCATCAAGATCAAGATACAAGATTCAGTGGGGTGGGTGAATGACACAACAGCTCTGAAAAGTGAACAAAAAAAAAAAGGCGTTGTATTTTGCATCAGGTCTTATTGAGAATCAGGGAAAATTCTGACCTCCACATCCCCTTCTCTCCTCCTACAGCCACCAAACCATCTTGTTTCTCCCAGGAACAGACTCCCCACCACGGCACTGCAGTGAAGTCAGAACCAGGGTGGTGGGGGTGTTTGTGACGAGGAGAAGATGATCCCAGCCTGTCGTGGGGATGTTCTATGAAACCACAGTTTGCCCTTCCCTCAATCTGCGTGCTCAGGGTTTTTTCTTCTTGGGGGGGTGTTTTTTGTTGGTTTTTTTTTCCCCCCCACACCATAAGGAAGATCACACAGATCTTAAGCGTTGAAAGCCTTAAAGAAGAAAAAGAGATTGCAATTGCAAGGATTATTCAGCTTTGAGAGGGGAAGCGTCAGGATTTAGTTGGGCTTTTTAAGATTACGAGAAAAGCAGGGGAGTTAAGAGAAAGCAAAAAATTTAGAGAGCTGAAACAGGTCAGACATCCATAATCTCCCATTACAGGAGGGCAAAGTGCATTCCCTGGCAAATTCTAAAAATGGATTCAGTCATGAGTAACTCACTCCTCGTAAGCCCCAAAGACAGAGGTGAGCAAATCACTCTGCTCTCCAGCACTGGCTGATTCTGCTTCAACAAGGAGCCTTCCTCTGCCCTGAGCAGCTTTGCCAGGCAACCAAGCATCTCTCTGGACTTTCCCCTCCATCCCAAGCCTGGGACAGGTGACTGGGCTTAATGGAGCAGCACTTCCATCTGGCAAGGCAGAGACAGGGCAGAGAAAATGGTACAATATTGCAGGTCTGATCCTGTCAGATGGTTGGGACATTTGGATCACGGCAAGCACCCATGGGACTGTTTATTTTCCCTGGCACAGCAGATCCCAGAGACTCCTGGGACAGCCCAGATCCATCTCTGAGGGTGTTTCTGGTTAAATCACAAAGAGGACTTTCAGCTTGCTGTGTTCCAGAGGCAGGAGCACAGGTCTCCTGTGTGAGGGACAGTGGTTAAAATTTAGGGACACAACCCCAACATCCCCTCAGTTGTCATCCCCCTCTGAGCAGGTCGGAAACAGCAGCAGAAAAGCAGATTTTTTTCCTTTAAGAGAGAAACCCCACCATGCCCTGACTCACCTGGGTCCTGCCCTACACTTGGAGCAGCTCAGAGGGAAGGCCAAGGTTTCCTTGTGTCCAGGTGAGCTCAGGGGGCAGAGAACTGTAGAGAGAGTATCATTTGCTCTCAGAATTTGCAAAAGTGAGGAACAGAGCAGCCACTTCAATCCCATCTTGGAAGCTCTGGACCCAGGTTATTGCCAAGCAGAGCAGCTCCCAAGAGCACATTTCCCTTAAAAAATAAACAAACAACACAGACTGCACATCTCCTTCCAGCCCTCAGGAAGGTCCAGAGCTTCAGGCCAAGAAAAGCAGCTTACTGAGGCGTTCCTGGCCACTGATTCCTGCTCTCCTCACTCCCATGCACTCATTTTGCACCAGCTGTGCTGGAGGAAAATCCTGCTGAGATGCAGGTAGAGAAAATTGTTAAAAGATTGTGCTCGAGTCTGCCAGAGGATGCAGAAAGGCATCATGCAAAAGCCAGAGAGGGGAGGGCAGGGAGAAGGATGCTCTGATAAATTTAGCAAGGATAAAAAGATAAAAGAGTGAACAAAGGGAAAAGAGGTCCCTTGAAGATACAACTCCTCTTATGTAGGTGTCATGGTCATGGTGTTGTCTGTAATATCTGTAACACAGTGGCCCAAACCCCGGGGGTCAGAGACCCTCAGCTGTTCCCCAAATGTGGAAAAGGAGAGACCTTCCCTGGGAGCTCATCAGCTCTGGGAGCACTGATGGCAAAGCCTGGCTGGCACAGCAATTGCTGGCACAGCAATTCCATCCCTGCATGGATCTCCAAGCTAAAACCACCCCAACCCCAGGGCAGCACCCAGCTCTGCCAGCCCAGGACACAGCAGGTCGAGTGCACTCTGTGCAAGGCTTGGTCTGAATGTCAGAATTGAGGACAGGGGACCTGAGGTACCTGCAGCCTCTGACATTGAGGTGCTTCCAGCCATGCAGCAGGGCAGAGAGGGAGAGCAAGGACTCAATCCCAGCTCAGCACCTTCCCCAGGTCATCTCTCCTCCCCAGGTGAACCCCTGGAGACCAAGAGTGGTTGTATTAGTTCTGCTTCTCTAAAACTCAATTCCTTTGTAGATGGATCACGAATGAAGCCCAGCAGCCATTCCTTAGCTGTGAAAGGAGTCATGTGAACTCAGTCTGGCACCTTTGCTTCATGTCCCAGGTTACTCAATAACCAGCTCAGACAGTTCTCCAATGAGCAGGACCTGAATAACACCACAGTTAGAAAATTCACAGCAGTGGGTAACTGGGGAATCACAGGACACAGTGAAGGCTGGCCAGTGTTGAAGACAAAGAAGAACCTTCTCTGTGATGTTGAGTGTCCCCAGTGCTACTGCAGGACATCCCAGCTCCAGCACCATGGGAGCAGTGTTAGTTCTGTGGGAAAACAACCTGCTTGCACACAGCCAGTGCTTGAGGCAGTGAACTCGTGATCACTATGCTGTAATCACAGAATCACTGAATGGTCTGTGATCCCTAAGGATCATCCAGTTCCAACCCCCTGCCATGGGCAGGGACACCTTCCACTAGCCCAGGTTGCTCCAAGCCCCGTCCAACCTGGCCTTGGACACTTCCAGGGCTGGGG